TATGGCCCCTCCGAGGAATATAAAGGAGGTCCAGCGGCTCACGGGAAGGATGACCACCTTGAACAGATTCCTCTCGCGTTCCGCGGTGAGGGGGTTACCCTTTTTTCGAATCCTGAAACCGCCTAAGAACTTTCAATGGACTGAGGAACGCCAGAAAGCTTTCACCGACCTGAAAGTATATCTGGCTGAGCTGCCCACTTTGACTGTCCCGGAGCAGGGAGAAATCCTGTTCCTATACTTGTCCGCTTGCAACGAGGCCGTTAGCGCGGTTTTGGTGCGGGAAGACAAGGGGGTTCAGAGGTCAATATATTATGTCGGCCATGCTTTACAAGGGCCGAAAACGCGGTACACACCGGCAGGAAAATTGGTCCTTGCCCTGGTGCACGTCGCCCGAAAACTCCGACCTTACTTCCAGACCCACAGCATTGTTGTCATGATTGATCAGCCTTTACGACAGATACTCACAAAACCTGAGGTCTCGGGCAGGATGACCAAATGGGCCGTCGAACTGGTCGAGCATGACATCGGCTATCAGTTTCGCACCGCCATCAAAGATCAGGTCCTGGCGGACTTCCTTGCTGAAGGGGCCAGTTTGTCCGTGGCCAAGTCAAGCTCTTTGCCCGAGAAGGTACCGCCGGAAAAGTCGTGGGTACTGTTTGTGGACGGGGCCTCGAGCAAGGAAGGGAGCGGAGCCGGCCTGCTGCTCATCTCGCCCACCGGAGAAGAGCTGACATACGCGCTCAAATTTGACTTCCCGGCATCCAACAATGAGGCGGAGTACGAAACCCTATTGATTGGATTACGGATAGCCCACCAGATGGGTATAACTGCTATCAAAGTTCGGAATGATTCCCAACTCGTAGTCCACCAAGTTCGCCGGGAGTACGAGACCAAGGAGGATATCATGAAAAAAATACTTGGCTAATGTACGAGAGGCGATAACCCTGTTTGATGTTTTTGAAATCGAGCAGGTGCCGAGATCACAGAACAAGCGCGCGGACGCTCTGTCAAAACTGACGTCCTCCTCGTTTGCTCACCTGAACAAGGAGGTCTTGGTGGAGGTAGTCAAGCAAAAAAGCATCGACCAAGTCCAAGTCTTGGCTACAGATAGCCCGGTCTCTTGGATGACTCCCCTTATGGACTTCCTCAGCTCGGGTGTCCTCCCCGAGGACAAAATCGAGACCCGCCGACTCCAACTCAGAACTGCCAAGTACGCCTACTCTAGGGGGGACCCTTTACAGGATGTTGTATTTGTCTCCCTGGCTAAAGTGCATAACTCCCGAGAAAGGCGACTATGTCCTCCGAGAAGTTAATGAAGGCTTATGCGCGGCGCATGTAGGATCTCGGGTGTTGGCCAAAAAGTGCCTGCTCCTAAGCTACTATTGGCCCCCAGTGTTTTGGGATGCCGTGGCGCTAGTTCAGCAACGCCGAGCTTGTCAGGTGCACGCCCCGCTACGTTACCAGCCAACTCAAGAGATGGTCCCCATCCACAGTCCTTGGCCTTTTGCCCAGTGGGGAATAGACCTTCTGGGGCCTTTTCCCCGAGTTCCCGGGAGATACGAACACCTCGTGGTGGCCATCGATTACTTCACAAAGTGAATGGAAGCGGAACCTCTGGCCACTATCTCTGGAAAAGCAGTTCAGAAATTCTTTTGGAAAAATATAGTTTGCCGCTTCGGGATTCCGCATGTCTTGATATCTGACAATGGGCGACAGTTCGCTGAAAATCCCTTCAAGAGTTGGTGCGCGGAGTTCGGGATCAACCAACACTTCACTTCGATCTGTCATTCCCAGACCAACGGCCAAGTGGAGAACGTTAATCGAACCATTCTGCAAGGACTGAAGACTAGGTTGGAACTGGTCCAGTGTAACTGGCTAGAGGAACTTCCTAGTGTCCTTTGGGCTTACCGAACTACGCCGAGGACAGCCACTCATGAGACCCCTTTCTCCCTGACTTATGGGGCAGAAACGGTGGTACCAGCAGAGATCGGCCTCCCATCGCCTCGGACATAGAATTTCGTTGCGGCAACCAATGAAGAAGAACTGAGGTGTAACTTGGACATGCTGGAAGCCAAACGCGAGGAAGCAGTGATATGGATGGCTAAGTACAAAAGTCAACTTGCCCGCTATCATAACGCGGAGGTGAGGATTACGCAGTACCAGCCGGGAGACCTCGTCTTAAGAAAGAACTCAGTCAGTCGAGCTCATAGTTCCAACAAGTTTGATCCGAATTGGGAGGGCCGTACAAAGTCCTGGAGACGAGCCGAGGTGGGTACTGTAAGCTTGCGAAATTAGATGGAGTAGAGGTACCTCGCACTTGGCACTCTTCGAACTTGCGATTGTTCATAGGTTAGATTGGTCCGAGATATCTTACTGTTTGTTCTTCGGAATCCACTTTCGGATCAAACTAAATAAAAGTTCGACTTCGAACCTTCATTACAAAGTTTATCAATACCGTTTACCTTGAACTGTCACGCTATTTGCTTGTTAATTCTACACTAGCACACTCAGACAATGCTAAATGTCCTAGTGGGGAGCGGGGGCAATGAATGAATGAAATGCCTTTAAAGTTTGAGAGTTTGACGTTCGACCCAAGAGGTCGGCATAGTTTAAAGCTATAAAAGTCTGATGTTCGGCCCAGGAGGTCGGCACGCCGCTTCGGTTGTTAGAATTCGGTTGGTGAATTAGTTTGATAGTTTGTTAGTGCCCTAGTTTGTTGTCCTTGACAATTTGATTGTTAGTTTAGAGTTCGATAGATGCTCGACCTAGGAGGTCGGCACGCCGCTTCGATTGTTAGAGTTCAGCGCAAGCGAAAATTGGAAGCCAGAAATAGATAGTTTCATCCAATACCATTTCATATGTACATTCAAAACCTACATATTGCAAATTCTACCGAGCTATTAAAAAAAACAAAAAAGAAGAAAAGCACAGCTTAGCCCCTAACCCCTAAACCACTGGCTTCTTCCCGGAAACCCTGCAGGGAGCCTCGCCCTCTTCCAAGGGAATCTCCGCGAGCTCGGCTCCCACGTCGCTCCTGCCAACCAAATCCTTTAGGGCATGCCCCTTGCAATACCCGTCGAAGAGTCAGTCTAGCTTCTTCTCGGCGGCAGGATTGTAGTCCTTGAATGTGGCCAAGTCGAAGCCAGACAGGCCGAGTTCCTTCACCTGGTCCAGGGCTCGTGTGAAACCGACTTGAAGGATGGGCTGATTGAGGAGGGCAACGTCTTCGGCAAACTGTTCGGAGGTGATGAACTCCAGAATAGCCTTCCCGCGCTCTCGGCTGACGGTGCCGGATAGTTCGATGGCGTGGTCCGCCCTCAACTTCTCTACGCTCGCCCTCTCCTGGTCCAGTTCTGACCTGGTGGAGGTGAGCTGGACTTGAGCCTCTTCCAGCTCCTTCTCGATTTTGCCCAACTTGGCCTTTAGAGAGTCTGTCTCCTTAAGGGCGCGGGCAAGCCGTTGCTCAGTCCCCCGATTCTTTTTCTGTAATTTCTCCAAATCGGGAGACAGTTCAGAGAAACGGGTCGCCAGGGCAGCCCCAGCGGCATTGGCCTGAGGAACGGAAAGGGAAATTAGTGTACTACGGGATCGAACCGGAAAGCAGAGACACAAGTGGCCTAAGGGGTAGGGAGCTTACTTAGGTCTGGGCGGTGTAGTACATGTCTTGAAGCTCGGACGGACTGGCCAGCTCCATCCACCTCTAGTCACGTGGGAGGACCGAACCCGCTACCAACTCGCGAGCCACCTCAGAAAATTGGGTTCGGTCGTTGATGGAGAGTTCCCACGACGGGCAGAAGCGCCGGGGGTCGTGCGTGGAGGGGGCCGGACCCGGCTTCACGGGGGCCACATGGCGAAAGTGCCACAGACTGGGGGGTGGCGTTTCCCATGCGTGCTCCTCCGCGAAGCCAACCCCCAGGTGAACCGGACCTGCGTGGGGGGCACCTCCCGACGTTAGCAGGAGAGGGGGTTGTGCTGAAGTTGGCGCGAGCCTTTTCTCAGACTGGGGGGCTCATCCCCTCGGCCCCTCTTTTGCCCGATCGCTTTTTCCTTGTTGGCGACCTGCTGGGTGGGGGACGAAGAGTGGGAGGCTTCCTTCTGGGGAGCCGAGCTGCCCCCAGGAGTCAGAGATGCCTCAGAGGCCTTCTTGGCAGCCTCTGGCTGCGGAGTGGGGGCGGCCACGTTGGAGGGCATGCCCAACAGCTTGGAAAGCCTCATCACTGCAGCAAACACCACTCGGTTAGTAAAAAAAAAAAAAGAAGTCAACGGACAACAGGAGCATAGAGGCGGCATTACAGGTGTTATAGTTGGTGGGGGATGGCACCACTCCTCCTGGGGACCCGGACAACGTCCCCATCAGCCCAGTCACAGATATCTGCTCGGTGGAGAACTTGGCCGCCTGAAATTTCACCGCAGAGCTCACCAGCTGGCTGAGGGCCTCGGTGTCCAAGTCCCCTGGATAGGGGTCGGAGTCGACCTCCCCGACCTTTCACACATTAAGAGGGAATGTGTAGATTTAATAAAAAAGAAGTCCCCCTTCCAGTTCTTTATGGAAGAGGGGACCCCGAAGAGAAGATCTGGGGTGCCCTTCCCACTCCGAACTTTGTTAGTAGTTCGGCGGGAGAAGTAGTACCACCCAAGGAGGGAGAGCTTAAGGGTGTAAGAGGCTCGGAAGAGAGAAAGAGAATAAGGGATGGGGCAGATTTGGCAGTAGATCAGGAATCCAATGATGATCCTGATAGAGTTGGGATGGACCTGAGTGATTCTGATCCCCCAATAGCTCAGGATCTCGGATAGGGCTGGAGGAATGGGGAGTCGGAGCCCTGCGATCACCTGCTCCCTGTAGATGGCTACGAGGCCGGAGGGAGGTCGGCTGGCTCGACAGCCCTCGACTCGAAGGCCAGAGGAATGAAAAAAGACCTGACCAGTTCGGTGACCTCCTTGGGCGAGAGGGTAACCTCTTGCTGGTCAGGTTGACCGTAGTCGAGTTCAGGATCGTCCCCCTACTCAGGAGCAGGGGTCCCCTCGGAGGAATCCCTATCCTCACCTGCCTCTCCCTGGGTTTCGTCAGGGGAGTCATGTGGGGACTTGGGGGAAGGAATGGAAGTGGCTTGCTGCGCGATGAGAGCATCGAGCTCAGCCACTTCCTCCAGGATACGGGCAGGAGGAGAATGGACAGATGGAGAGCTCATAATGATTATGGGCTCGAGCAGGTTGGGGATATGGAAGTTGGGGTTAGAAGCGGAAGAGGAGGAAAGAGGAGGAGGGGAAGATGAAGATGAAGACGAAGAGGAGGTAGGGATCCTAAGGGCTCTACGATGGGTAGGGGCCCGAGATGCGGTGGAAGTGACGCTGGACTGATCCGACATAAAAAGTAAAGGGTGACAAGGGGAAAAAGAGAGCGAATGAGGAAGGAAAAGAACTTACTGGTGAATGGAATGGGAAAAGATGAAGGAACTGCCGGAATCTGGACACTGTGGGCCGGAAGTCTTGCCACTGGAACTTTTGGAAGTAAGAAAATACGTGAAATAACGAAAATGGTAAATAGAATCGGAAGAAATCTAGTAACTCCTATTTATAGGGAGTAAAATGGGAGGAAACGGCTGCTTGAAGTTGAACCGCCCCCATGCGAACGCATTTAAAAGCAGTACGGAAACCAAAGAGACGCGACAGTTAAAAGGACGCAAGCGCGACTTTTCAGGAGACAGCACTGTGCCGGAGGTGACCATGGCAAAGCAGGGCGACGCCGGTCTCCCACGTAGCAGGGGGCGTAGATTAGGTCTATCTGGAAGCCCTACCTAATCTAAGGGGCTAATGCAGAGGCCCCGTCCCGAGCCCAGACATGTGGCAGCTCGGGAAGTCCAGAGTTGGGTTTGGACCCCAGGCCCATGGGAACCGTCCTGAGGCACACCGCCGCTAGGACTCCGAAGGGCTCCAGAGAACAATCCCGCAGAGGGCGGGGAGAATCCCTCTCAGCGCGGGATTGACACTATTCCGGGTAGATCCCGAAACGTACGGAGGTCGGACTCTCGAGTAGGTATAAATGGTAACGCACACCAACTGTACAAGGTACGCTCACTATTGGCAAATTACTCCCGACTGTTTTACTTCCCGTGAATTCCACTCACCGGAGGACTAACTTAACCGTCGGAGTGCTCCCGGAGACAACCTCGGGGCTCCCCTGTTAGTCACTCTAAAGACCTTTTCTTGTTTGTTTTGCAGGGTTTGGACACGCTCTTCTCATCAGCACGCCGATCTCAGTAAGTCAGCTCGGTTTGGGGAAGCTCAGCGCTTCTTCAGTAACCAATAGAAAATTTCTTGCAAGATTTCAGTCGATTTTTGCAAGAAAAAGTTGAGGTTTAAGGTGGATTTTTCTCAGTGGTGATAAAAATGTGCCGGTCACTTTTGGTTTTGATTTTTACTTCTAAAAAGGAGCCCTAGCAGTGAAGTATCCGAAATACCCTTGCTTAAGTACTCAATTAGACGTTTGATCAGAATTACAACATGGCGCCGCCGCGGAGTTCCTCAATTGAAACCGATAAATAAGTATAGAGATTAAATTGGTCAAAAAATTATGTAAGGACTAAATTGACAGTAAAAAAAAATATACGGACTAAATTGGCCATTTTTTCAATTTTTTTTTTCATTTTTATATCACTGTGTGAAATTGGAATTGGACTGCCAGGTTAACTTTCTTTACATTAGCCTTTGACGATCAGGCTAACTTCGTGAGAACCAGTGATAAAAGGCAGTCAATGGATTCAGTTCCTCTGCGATTGCAGGAGGAACCGGGCTGCGCTATGAATGATCCGAGATCAACAGAAATGACCTAACTTAATTTTGGCTGTAGTAAATTATGACATGGACGGCCGAGATCAAGCCGAGCTGCTCTGGCCCGATCTTTGACCATCCACCGCACGATGCAGTGCAACTGGACCGTGTTGTGAATGATCCAAGATCAACGGAATGACCCGGCCCGATTTCGACGGCTAGTGAATCTTGACATGGATGGCCGAGATCAAGCCGAGCTGCTCTGACCGGATCTTGGATCGCCCACTGCATAATGCAGTACCTCCTTCAACTGCAGGAGATCCGCATCTGTAGTCAACTGGTGCAATCAGAAGATCACAGCAGGTAAAAGAAAAGAAAAAGGTCAAGATATCTTTCATGAGACAAAAAATGCAGTGATACCTAGTCCTGCAAATGAAAAAACCAAACAAAAAAAAATATATATATATATATCTCTGAAGTAAGTTTTATTCATATGAATATATTACTAAACGGATAGAATTGTAGAGTTACAATAACTCTGTTTAGTGTTTACAATCACTTTGGCATGTGATAACATGCAACCATTTACTCTCCAGGACATGGTCCAGCATATGCTTCCACCTCTCGGGTATGTAGCAATCTCATAGTGTTCATCTCGTTGTTCTCAAAGTTTTGCTTGTTCTTCAAGTTGTTCCTGTCAAAATTACCAGTATCATCACATCAGACGACGGTGACGACTATACCAATGGTATTCCAGAGGAAACAATAAGTAAATGAAATAACAGGAAGTGCGAGCTTGTTCCTAGAATTCTGCAATGAGGAAGATTTAACTTGCAAGAAATGGTAAGAGAAGCCGATGATGCTTTCTTTCAAGAATCGGAGGAATGGAGGGCAAATCTTTTATAGAAAAGGTGTCCATTGCCATAGACTCGACTCTGAAGTAATATTAATTGTTCTACTGTAGAAAATGCATAGTAAACAAAGGGAAATAAGGAAATTATAACTGACCTCTGTCACAAAGAAAGCATGGAACCCGTATGGAACTCTATTAGGTAATTCAACAACGGCAACAGGATCAGCTGACATTGTTTTTGCATCAATCACATTTACAGCTGACTTTCTGCAGTTATCAGATGATGATGATTTTTGTCATGTAAATTGTAGATTACATCTGAGATCAGGTTGAGATACATGCCACATAGAGAAGTTCGTTTGATCATCCATAAACTTAGGAATTGCCTTCTTAAACAAATACAGGATAGGAAGAGAACAAACTTTGGAGTGTATGGTTCTTGAGGCCCTCACCACTAAAAAGGAAGAAGACCCAGAACACATTAAAAAAAAAGGGAAAAGAAAAGACAGTAGGAAGAAGGAACAACAGAACAGTCTTGATTGAATACATGCAATCTTTGGTTGCTTTCAAAGATACACTACTTGTTAAACTTAACCTCTTGCCTGAGTAATTTGCTAGTATTCAGGTTGATCAACAGCCTCGACCAACCTCATAGCTAGATCAGCAAATACAGACATAGCAATGACAGCAAATACTCATATCCAGTAACTGAAGCTACATGAGACTATTACAAGCATTTTAATTACCTGAACCGTCATGATGACTAATTAAACTGACAAAAATGCCACCTCAGAAGTGCTACCCCCAGTTTTCAATGAATCAGCATAGATACAAGCATAAAACGCAAAGAGAAAAAGAAAAGAAACAAAAAATACATTGATATGAAGTGTTTTACAATTTGGAGCTTATCCTCCTTTTTTAATTCTCTTTTCATTTGTTTTGCAATTTCTATCTTTTGGTTACACACAATTTAAAAAGAGAGTAGACTTTTCAGTATTGAAGCAAACAGGCATAGGAAACACATTGTAGGATTGAAGGAAATCACCAAGTAAGATCACACAATATATTGTTAGAGATTGTACAGTGCTTACTTGTAATCTAGTAGTGTTTGCATCTGAGAAATATAATGACAATTATTTCAAAGTTTGGGTGTAGGAAGAGTCAGACAAGTACCCAGTCGATTCATCATGTACGAAGAATATCAAGTAGCCATCATCCTCTTCAGATGTAATACCAGGCTGGCGTGGAACAAAGATAGCCTCCGAACCAAACCTTCCTGGTCCTAGGTCAAAGACACCTTGAACATTACCACCAACTTCAATTTTTGTTTTACCAGTCTCTGGTTCAGCATGCAAATCAAATTTGGCAATCCCTGTGACCTTGGCAATGCTGTCCAATATGGTCCCATATACATATTGTTGTTTCCTGTGCTTGCAGAAGTGGATCCAGTCATGCAGATGGAACTCAGAAGTGTAGAATAATATTTGATAAAGAAATTAAAAACCCAGCCAACATTAGGACAGATTAACAAAAGCATCAGATAAGTATAAAAGAGATCCTTCTTGCGCTCAGAGAAAAATTTTAACTTGCCCTCATAAGGCCATTGATTACTAGCATAATCCACATCCACTGTTAAATATCAGACATAAAGAGAATGGTATAATTTATATTAGCTGCAGACCAATTCAAAACAATTCAGAAGTACAGCACCCACCTTCCAGTGTAGCTCTCATTCACCCTTGGAAAATCTACTGCAGACTCTGATAGTTTCTTCTGTGAAGCAAGACCAGTTTTCAGGTTAAATCGCATTTCATACCTGACAAGTAGAACCAATTTAGGAACACCTTGCATGAGCTGAAATGGTCAATATAGTCAAGGGATTAAATTTCTCTTACAGCTCATTTGAAAAATTTTCAAGCTTCTTTTTCACAATGCCGCTAACCATGTCCAGGTCTGGGTTCTGCAGACGGCAAGTGATAAGAATAACCTCATCCCCTTCCTCCCATGCATTGGCTGCTTACCAGAAAGGCAAAGTCCAATTATCTTCCCAGATCATGATCATGACAAACTAAATTTAAACAATAGAAGTTTGAGGTTTTGGCAAAAGGCGTTAATCAGTTTGTTTATTAAGAAGGTGCAATCTTCAACTCTTAAACCATATAGGCATATAGTGGTGCTGAGTCATGCACAGGAAACATCTAAGATGTGATAGGTAATTAAACCTTGATACTTAAGCATACGTACAACAACAGCACAATGAGAAAGCTGAAAAGATACTGAAGCAAAGCCATTGTTTACTGCATTGATTGCTTTGGAATGCGTATGTATATAGTGGTGTCGACCTATTGTCTGGAACTAAATCTAGTTTTTTACTTCTATAACAATTCAAACAACTAAACAAGAAAAATCTCTTTATCAAAAATCGTAACAAGTTACAATCTTCTCTGCTTGTATAAATGCTTTTGCAACGTGCATTAAAATTGGCCTAGGTATTGCCAAGAGAGCAGCACCTCTTGAAGAAGTAATTTTCAATTTCCACAAACAGGTATTCAGATTCCTAGTTAAATAAACAAAGCAAAAGTAGAAGTCACTAGCTTGCCGGACTATGATCAAAACTTCCTTGGTGGGTCATAAGTCACTGATTACTATGTCTACAATATTCAGAAGCCAATGAAAGAAAACAAGCAGAAATGCAGTTTTCTCAGGGAGGTCTGCCTGAGTTTTGATAGGGTTCTGCCATCAAGC